GCAGTGGGTGTGGTTTGGGCTTTGCTTCTGTGAAGATTGACAGCCTTGGAGACCCTTATGGGGCAGTTCTGCTCTGCCCTCTAGAGGCGCTGTGGGTCAGAATCGACTGGATGGCACTGGGTTTTTCTTAAAACCACATTTTGCAAAACCAGGCTTGGTCTGCAATGACTGCACTTAGTATCTACAAAATCCCAGCCTGGCTGAGTTGCTAAGAACACGCGAGGGAGAGACGCAAGTTGGCTGGAGTGGTAGAGAGCAGGCACCCTTGCCCTGGAGCCAGTGATGGACGTGGGGGTTGGACCCGGACCTGCTGTGAGCTGCAGAGCCAGATGATGGGTGTTGCCTTCAGAGGGCAGAGCTCAGGGGACAGCAGGGGAACTCTGAGGACCGCGGTGGGGGGGGGGTGGGCCCGGAAGGCTACAAGTGGAGGGTGAAGAAGCCTAGGACCTCTCCTGTCATTACTTTTGTCTTCCACATCCCAACACAGCATACGGACCTCTTGGGATCTTGTAATTGATACCACAAAAGTTCACTCTTACCCAAGTCTGTGGGGTTCTTGTCCCTCTGCTCCCCATTGGGAGGGGGCGGTAGCTGAAGAAACAAAACCAGCTGCAGCCAGTGCACCTCTGCTCAAGAAGAGGGGGGCCCACTCAGCATTTGAGGAGACCAGGGACCAGCCAGCGGCGACCAGCGCTCTGCCAGCAGAGAGGGGAACACCGCAAGCGGGAGAGGCATTCACGGGAACGCACGCCAGCGAGGAGACAGGCCGCGGTGTTGTTGTTCATGTGGCGCCTGCGGCTGCCCAGGGAGTGCTCACGGCTGGCCAGGCCAGCTCACAGGTTTCTGGTTGCCAGCCTCAGCCCGTGGCACCCAGCTTCTGGCCTGGGTGACCAGGTCATCTCTCTGCCACCCAGTGGGGGCAGCCCCGATCTCTCCAGTGAGGTCTGAGTCTTGGCCTTGCAGGGTGGGAGAGCCCACTTCCAAGCACGTCCCTTCACTCCCGCCCCTTGGTGTCACCTCTGGTGACAGCTGTGTCATGCTGTGTATTACATTTTCCCTGGTCACATTACTGGTCAGTCTCTGTCTTCTGATTGGACCCCAGTTGATAAGATTGGGTCTTTGACAGAACTCTTAACCCTTACCGAGTGCAATTTCCAACTTGGAAATCTCAATTATTCTGAGACAGTTCTCCATGTCGCTGGGGAGAGCTGGCGTTTGCACGGCACCAGTGTAGGCTGTCTGTGTGTGAAAACACTGGTTTTGAACGGGCAGCAATACCACAGGTCTCAGGCATGGGCAAGCGGGTTAGCCATTGGATGGTTTCATGTAGTGGAGTGTCAAGGTCTCAACTATATAGGACCCTTGGCCCAGGGGACACAGAGGTCTCTCCTGCTTAAGGAAATGCAGCCTTACACATCCTCAATGGATATGCTGCTGGAGGCGGACTCATGGGACCCGGCAAGCGGCTTCAAGTGTCTTCTTATTTGCATACACCTGTCAAATCGGCCAGCCACTCAGAAGGAAGACTGGGCAGTCTACGTCCATAGTGATACAGCCTCGGCAACCAAAGGAGGGGTTGCTATGAGTCGGATCCAACTCGACAGCAGTGAGCTTTTTTTTTTTTTTTTAATACAATTATACATGATCCCTACACAAGCATTTTCCAAATGTTAACCTGAAATGTAGTTTTGGATGATACTATGTGGGTCTGTGCTGGTTAAGATCCTAAAAAGCTGGCCTGCTTCACCAGCCACATATGAACCCCAAAATATGGAAATAATAATAATAATAAAAATCATCCAAAGTCTGTGTTTTCAATAGCCAAGCTTTCTCTACTTTTGTCTTTGAAGTTACTCTAATGGTTCCCTTCTTTTATTCTAAGTGCACTGACTCAGCAAATGTACCTTTTTTTAAAAAAACAAAACAAAACAAAACAGGGAAAGCAAAATTAATGGATTTGATATGCAAGAAAGAAAAAGATACAAAGTCATTAGGGTGAAATTAGTTACATAAAGACCTTCTTTGTCAGTGGCGAGAAATAACGACCCCACTGCTCAACCCTTTTAACATCTCAGGTTTTAATTTTTCTCATAGTACATTCTTTAAAAGAAGTTAGCAACTTCGCTCCCAAATATAACGATTAAATAATGCAAATGAAAAGCAGTCTTTTTCAGTGAAACTATTGCCCAATTACCTGGAAAAGGAGTTTTCTTATGATTGAACGGATGTAAACATCCCTTAGAAAAGCTTTATTTGTTGCCTGTAAAGAGTCTTCTTAAGGTCACTTTGACTTCTAAGACCACGTCTCCAGTGAGAGTTTGCTTGGTAATGGCTTGGGGCTCCACAGTGTTTTGTGTGTGCACAGCGTAGACTGAGAGATACTACTGAAGTCACTCCAACTGCAGCTTCTGCCACGAAAGAAGTCCCAGCACTGTAACATTTCCCCTTAATTTTCAGCAAGACAACGAACAGAAAAAGCAAGTCCCACCTTAGTCGAGACGTTGGAAGGGGCACTAGGAAGCTGCCGTGCATCCGGCTACAGAGCCCGTGCGAGACCCCGTGTGCTTATGGGGTCACCTGCAGGTTTCGAGGTCGGCCCCGCATGGCTCGGGTGGCTGAGGCTCCCAGGTGAACCCCAGGGTGGGAGCACGGGACAGCCATTGCTCACGGCAGGCTCTCCTCTGCAAGGTGGGGGAAGAAGCACGCTCCCAGACAGGAACAGAGAAAAGCCCATGAAATAACGTTCTCGAGTCACCGTCCCTTTTCCTGTTCTGAGCTGGCATCTACTGCTGGGACAAGAGGGCACTGCGGTTGGCTTTCATTTTTTCCAGACGCTTCACTAAGTGGCCGTTGCTGACCTCAAGTTCCTCTGTTTTGTCCAGTGCAGACCGGAGCTGTAAACAGAGAGAAAAGCTGTGAACTCTGAGGAACGTGTTTCCTGCGAACAGGACAGGCCTCCGTGTTGCCAAGATTCCAGTTTTGCTAAAAAACGCATTATGACCTGAACTCATTGAAATCCTAAAAATACATCCATACGTACATGTGTATGGATGTATTTTTCAGACAAAAGTGTCAGATTCCATTAACCCCCCCTTAACTATGTACAGTATGGTACTTCATGATGTTGTCATTATAGATAAACATCACGATACATGAAGAAGTTGAAGTTGTGAATGATTTCATTCTACTTGGATCAACAATCAATGTCCATATTGTCCACAGAAGTAACCGTCAAGAAATCAAGCAACATGATGCATTTGCTTAAATCTGCTGTAAACAACCTCTTTAAAGTTTTAAAAAGCAAAGATGTCACTTCGATGACTAAGGTGCGGCTGACCCAAGCCACAGTCTTTTCACGCATGCAAAAGCTGCACCATGCAAAAGGCAGGCAGAAGAATTGAGGCTTTTGAATGATGGTGCTGGTGAAGAACACTGAATGTATCATGGGCTGCCAGAGGAACGAACAGATCCACCTCAGACGCAATTCAACTAGAATGTTCCTTAGATGCGAGGATGGTGATATTTGGGCTGGCGTTTTAGCTGTGCCGCCAGGAGAGGCCAGCCACTGGAAAAGGCCACCGTGTTTAGTAAAATGGAGGGTCAGCAAAAAGGAAGGACACTCTCCATGAGCCAGATGCACACGACAGCAACAACAGTGGATTCAGCCTGAAGGTGGCACAGGACCAGGTAACGTTTGGTTCTATTGTGCACAAGGTCCCCATGGGTCTGTCAGAGAAGGTCTCCATGGGTCTGTTATAAGAGAAGGTCTCCATGAGTCTGTCATAGAGAAGGTTTAAGGTCTCCATGAGTCTGTTATGGACAAGGTCCCCATGAGTCTGCCATAGAGAAGGTCTCCATGAGTCTGTCAGAGAAGGTCTCCATGGGTCTGTCATAGAGAAGGTCTAAGGTCTCCATGAGTCTGTTATGGACAAGGTCCCCATGAGTCTGCCATAGAGAACATCTCCATGGGTCTGTCATAGAGAAGGTCTCCATGAGTCTGTCATAGAGAAGGTTTCCATGACTCTAAGAAAAGGTCCCCATGAGTCTGTTATGGACCAGGACTCTATCTGTCAGCACTGTCTTGACCGCAATGAACAACAACATGGCACTTGCAAATGGTTTGGGATGATACCACAGTGAGTCACTCAGGGCTGTTCTAACACTGGTAAAGCCTCCCTGAGTTCCCAACGGGATTATCATTCACGACTCGTCCTTTCTAGAAGCAGCCCAGGGAATCTACCTCTCTTTGGAGTTTTCGTTTTTCAGCCTTAAGCTCATCTTCTACTCTTTCTGCGTTTTCAGCTGCCGACTTGTAACGCGATACTTGGCTCTCTAATCGTATTACCTAAAAGCAGAGGAAACATACGTGGATAAATTGATAGGCCGGTTTACTTTCTCCAAATGCCCTGTCATATTTGAGGTCAAAGGCTGTGACTTGGTAAGATGGGAGGATGCATAATGCAAATAACCACGATACAGCATTTACGGCTCTGATGGGCTCTGGCTAAGAGGCCACTCTTTCACAGTTTGGAGTGATCTTACTGATGCCTGTAAGGACTTATTTTCTCTTTTGCCCTGATCTAGAACGGTGTGTCCGGAGTGCTGCCCCTCTCCTGCCCTCACTTCCATGTCACCCTTTTCTAGGGTGGCTCTGTTGGACAATGGGTTTGGCGAGGCAGGATGATGCTGGCAAGCAAAGGTTCGCCCAGGCCCTCAACTCCAGTCAACTCTCTCCTGGGGTTGGTGGGTGGGGCAGTGGGAGAAGGGTAGGAAAGGCAAGGAGGTAACAGAAAGAAGAGTCAAAGACGGAGGCAGCGGGATGGCATTCCAGTCAAGGGCCTGAGGTCGAGACAGAAGTGAAGGCTGGCCTGTGGACCAAAGACTGTGCCTCACAAAACCCATCCCTTTCTGTGGGTGCTGTTTTCGTTTTTGTTTCTATAAAAACGTCAGGAAGTTCCAGCCACATAGACCCACGACCGAGGGGGCTTTGGTAAGGATGGAGTCCCTGCATGGTGGAGGCGCTTAGTTGCTGGCTGCTAACCAGAAGGTTGGAGGTTCGAGTCCACCCAGAGCTGCCTTAGAGGAAGGCCTGGTGTGATCAACTTCTGAAAACTCAGCCATCAAAAGCCCGATGGGGCACAGGGGGCGCCATGTGTTGGAACTGACCCCATGACAACTGCTTTTGGTTGCTAAGGACACTATTTGGAGTAGGTTGAGCTCACTAGAGGTGGGTTGCCCCAAATCCAGAAACCAGGGAGCGTATGCCTGGCTGGAGAGAGAGGCTGACATCCAGGCAGGAGGAGGGCCCGCCAGGCACTGTTTTCAAATTAACGGAATTATTTTAAAGAATTAATTTACTAAAACCTCCAAGCCACGTCACCTTTTTCCTACAACCAAATCCACCGCCAACGAGTCAATTCCGACTCATGGTGATCCTACAGGACAGAGTAGACTTGCCCCGGAGGATTTCTAACGCTATAGATCCTCTTTTCTCTTTTTTTTATTGTCATTTAAGTGAAAGTTTACAGAGCAAATTCACTTTCCATACAGCAGTTCACATACACTTTGTCTCATGACATTGACTACAATTTACCCCAATGCAACAGCTCCCCTTCTACTTCCTCCCCATAATTACCTCTCCCTCCATGTACGCCCACCCCCTGCACTGTCTCCCTGTGTATAAAACACCCCTTCTTTACTCCCATGATTGTTCTCTCCAAGGAGTGTATCTACCTCAGGTAATGTTCAACTCATATGCCTGTCTATTGTTTGGCTGGAAGCCACAGGCATGGGTTCAATTCCAGACCTGAAGGGCAGCGAGGGGCCATAGTCTCAGTGGTTCCACCAGGCTCTATCAGACCAGCAAACCTGGTCCCCCCCTTTTTTCTCCCAAATGATTTTGAGTTTTGTTCCACATTGTTCTCCCTCTCTATCCAGGATCTCCTACAAAGATCCCCCTCCGAGTGGTTGACAGTGGCAGCCGGGCACCATCTAGTTCTTCTGGTCTCATAGTCATATAGGCTGCAGATCACATAGTGTACCAGTTGCTAGGACTAATTGTTTCCATGAATCTTTGGTTTTCTTCATTCTCCTTTGCTCTGGATGAGGAGAGACCCATCGTTGCATCTGGATGGCTGCTTGCAAGCTTTTAAGATCCCAGTTGGTACTCACTGAAGTAGGAGGTGGAACAATGTTTTGGGCAGTATATTATGCCAATTGAGCTTGATGTCCCCTGCAGCTATGATCCCGAGCCCACAGGTCCAACTACTTGCTCCCTCTGGGTAGCTGGCTGTGGCCAAGAAGTGATACAACCTTGTCCCTTGTCAGCTCTACTGTACACCTGGGAATTCTTACAGAACATACAAATACACTTGTAGAACCATTGTCTGCCAACCCTATACGTGGTCCTGGGTATATTCCCTGCTGCACAGACATACCTAATAGTTCAGCCTGTCTAAGGCTATAGATCTTTACAGAAGCAGACCGCCTCATCTTTTTCCCACAGAGAGACTGGTGGGTTCCACCGCTGATCTTTCTTGGTCAGCAACCAAGTGCCTTCACTACTGCACCACCAGGGCTCACTTTTCCTACCAGTAACCCTGCCGATAAAGGATCAGCATCCACTGTAACACCCCAAACCCTAATAACCATCTTCCTTTCTCTCCATTTTCCCTCTGTGAGGAGAGGACCAAGAGACTCGCTGCCTGCATCCAACCCCCTCAGAACCTCTTGGGATGGTAAAAATCTCTGCTGCTCTTTGCCCCAGCCTTTCAGGGGCTCTTTCTAGCCAACCAAACTTGAAGCATCCGTCACTTTCGCCACGACTGGTCAAGTGCGCACACGCACATTTTGCTCTAATGCGCTTATCTCTTGCTCGGATTTTGCGAGTTTAAATTTGAGGTCGCTGATCTGCCTGCTGGCATCCCCTGCCGGGAAAGAGAGAGAAACCTGTTAAGTCTTGGGCTTTAAATGGAAAGGCAATAGTTACTGGGAACCAGGCCGTACTTTGTGATCATCTCACGAATCTCAAAGCTCTGGACTGTGGCTCTAGACCAGAGCATGCTCTTGGCACATACCCTGGCTAGGAGGGTGCGTCCCCGCCCCTCTGTGTGGGCCCCAGATCCCAAGCAGAGGTCACCTGAGTGAAGCAGGTGGAGATGGTAGGGGTGGGAGGAGGGTGGAGAGAGACTGGGTATCATCTGCTGCCCCTTAAGCCTGTTTCTAGGAGTCCCTGGGTGGAACACATGGTTAAGCACTTGACTGCCAACTGGAAGGTTGCTGGTTCAAGTCCACCCAGAGATGCCATGGAAGAAATGCCTGGTGATCCATCTTTGACAGACTGCAGCCTTGGAAACCCTACGGAGCACAGTTCGACCCTGACACACATGGGGTTGTGATGAGCTAAAACTGACTTGACAGGAACTGTTTATTTTTTTTAAGTCTGTTTCTTACATGTTGGCACAGAAAAATACCCTATAATCAGCAGATAAAGAGACGGCTGTATCAGGCCAAGGAAAAGTGGGCTCTATCAGCATTTCCTAGGATGGTACCTGAGTGCATGGGGCATCTGCTCTATTTCACAGGCTTCCCCAGAAACGCCCCCGTCTGCCCATCCGCCCCGGCTCTGCCCCACAAGGAGCTGCCCTTGCTTTCTTTTACTCAAGGGCTTTGGAGGGGCCCAGGGGGTACTGGGAACCCCTTGCCTTGGCAGTTGCTCTCCTCTCGACAAGTATAAAAAACCAGCACAGGGAGCGGCGTCTACAGCCAGTATTTACTTTGTAGATCCATGACGTGCACGTCTGTCCCATTCTCCAGGATGTCACCTTCGGGCCGCAGGCCATCCAGCTTGCCATTCCTCTGTTTCTGTTCCAGCTGCCCTTTGAGCTTCTTGATCTGAAAACACCCACAGGTAAAACAGGTTAATTTCTCAATTGATACAAGACTGAAAAGCTGAGCTCAGAGGCCAGAGAGCAGCCAGCAACGTGTAAATGAAAACCAACACCCTATACGTATAATTGGCCCTTCCCTTGAAGTCGATTAGTGTGTCTGGAGAGCAGCAGAGAGAGAGAGAGAATATAAGGAACATTAGATAAACGGACGGAATGGTTACAGTCCCCCAGGCGGGCAGGTAGGGAGCCTCTTTCATAAAGAAATGACCTAAAGTATGTAAATTTTTTTAAAAAAGAAACGCCTCTATCAGTTAGTACTCTTCTCAGAACATAAAACGTAGTGCCATGAATTATGTTCACAACATCAGGCATAAATTCTTTCGTAACTCTGGGTGAAGAGTGACTTCCGCATCTGAGACTCCTCAGGGATTCGTGAGGGCGTTGTACATAAAACACGCTAAGTCTTTGCTGCTATTGTTACTTGCTGTTGGGTCCTTCCAATCTGACTCATTGCACCTCAGAGTAGATATGCTCCACAGGTTTTTCAAGACTGTGGTCTTTCAGAAGTAGGCCAGCAAGACTGTCTTTCGAGGTGTCCCCAGGTGAGTTTGAACCACCAACCTTTTGGCTAATAGTAGAGTGCGTAACTGTCTGCAAATGTTTGCCTAGCAGTTATCCAATCAGTGTGCTATTGGAACCAAACCAAGCCAACCCTAGGCCATCCAGTCCATTCCAACTCACAGCGCCCCTAGAGGAGAGTGGGACTGCCTCACAGGGTTTCCAAGGCTGTCAATCTTTATGGAAACAGACTGCCTCATTTTTCCTCTGCAGAGTGGCTGCTGGGTTCTAACTGTTGACCTTTTGGTTAGCAGCTGAGCACTTTAGCCACCGCACCACCAGAACTCCTACACAAGCACAGCAGACCTCAATTAACCATGGCCCACCTGTGCATGCTGCTTGCAGAAAATAAGCGTAGAATTATGACAGGCACATTTTTGAAAAAGACCCTAGGAACTTACGTCAAATCCTTCCACCAGAGTTTGGGCTTTATCCAGTTCTGAGAGAGACTGCTAATAGACTTGGGAGGAGTCAGGCAAACACATTTTATTGGGCAAGTGAAGAAAACTTAGAAATGACGTTCCCTTAAAAAGGGATTGTGGGATGAATTCATAACTATCCCACATACAAAAAAGGACCAGATAGGAAGACTCCTTAATGCTTCTGGAGGTGCGATCTGCTCTAATGCAGAAACGCCCGATGAAGCGCTCACCACCACTGAGACGGCTGACGAGGAGAAAGTGCAAATCTGACTCTTGCAGAACATCATATGATTTATGTTCTACTTGTTCTTGTTAACGCTGCCTGGCCCCTCGCCGGGGTGGGGGTGGGGTCGAGCCGTCGTGATCCGTAGGCTTTTCACCAAGTAACTGTTGGAAGCAGACTGCCAGGCCTTTCCTCCTCCTCTGTCTCGGTCTGGAAGCTCTGTGAGACCTGTTCAGGGTCACAGCGACGCACCCCCTCCACTGACCGACGAGTGGGGTGCCAGCTGCACAGGAGCTGGACTGGCCAGGAACTGAACCCAGTTCTCCAACAGGGAAGGCGAGAATTCCACCAGAACCACCCTGGCCTTCACATGTTCTACTCAGACAGGAATACTAAGGACACGGGCTGCCTTGACCATTACTTTCAAGCACAATGTGGTAGGGGTCTCTTGATGAGGCAAAAAATTGGGATGGGAATGTTCAGGTTGAAAAACTCGTCATGTAATGTAAAAAAAGCGTTACCTGTTCCAGTAGGCATTCCCGCTCATCAACCAGCTTCTTCAACCTAATATCTAAAGAAACCAGAAAGACACAGGTTTAGATGAAGCCGCGTACAACACCCCTTGGCACACATTAAACCAAAGAATGACTGTTCAGGTTAGTGAAACGAATGATGAAGATGTTGGACACGTACCACAACAAATGAGGCCACAGACAGACTGGGGAGAAGTCAGCCAGGGGAGGGTGTGTCAGCCGCCCAGAACATGCTGGTCACGTCCGCAGCAGCTTCCGGGGCATGCAAACGGGCTAATCTTCTACTTTAGGTTAGCATGCAAGAACTCTAGGGCCAAACCGACTGCAACACAAGATCTCACAGGCTCATGGTTTGCATCGTTAGCAAGGTACAAACACCACAATCACAATGACACAGCACCGGCGCCGGCGCCAGCCTTGCCCTCCTTACTCCCCAGAGGCATTGCTCCTTTCTCAGCTACTCCTCAGCGTGGGCTGGGACCCCATGTTGAGGAACCCTAAGTCAGAGTTTGGACCCCATGCCAACTAACCCTAAGTCAGAGTTTGACCCCACGTTGAGGAACCCCTAAGTCAGAGTTTGGACCCCATGC